TAAAGGTAAGCTATATTCTTCTCTCATTTTTCTTGATAGTACGCATCTATCTCATCCTCTCACTATTCTATATATAGTATGGGGGAACACCAACCAACCCGGATCCCTCCCCAGCCCACAGGGTAGGTTGGCACCACAGTTGTGGTGCGAGGGCAAGGCTGTACCAGTCCCTCATCACGGTGAAGAGGGGTGGGCAGGCATTGCCGATGGGGGAAATCGGCGGTGCTAGCGCCGAGCAATGGCCAGTCACTGCACCCCCCCCTACCCACTAACCCAAAAATCAAAGAACTTTCGTATAACTAAATCCGTACGTGCCTCTGCAGGCAAGGGAACAAAAACAGCATACTTACTAAATCGGTCAACAATGACCATGACTTGGCTCTGGTCGTGTCTACTCTTGACACCGGCATCCATAAAATCAATGGAGACTGAGTCTCCCGGCTGGTCTGGAATAGGCAAGGGTCTGAGAAGACCTAGAGGGGCGCGCGTAGTGGTCTTCTTTCTCTGGCAAACTTTGCAACTGCGAACATACTCTATACAGTCAGCTTTCATCCCTGGCCATGTGTACGCACGCATGAGATTGGCTAAAGTCTTCTGCCAACCGAAGTGCCCCTCTGTATCATGGCACTCCCCTAGGATCAGACTACGAATCTCCTCACTGTTGGGGATGCACAGGCGGTCTACCACATTAGTCTTCTAAAATAACAACCCCTCTGTAGTGCGGTAATCCGGCTCGGTCTCTGGGGCCTCCCTAACTCTCCTCAGGAGGTCACTATAGATAGGATCCTGCGCATATGCCTGTCTTACTTTCTCTTGCAGGTCCTTTCCTATGTCCAAATAGTGCACTATAGCTCCAAAGTAGTCTGATCTCCTACTCAGAGCATCCACAACTACATTGTACTTGCCCTTGACCGGCTTGAGCTCAAAGTCATATTGGTCTATCTCAGCGGCCCACCTAGTCAGCTTAGGTGTCATCTCGGCCTGGGTCTTTAACCATCTAAGAGTTTTGTGGTCTGAGTATACTTTGAAGTGCCTCCCAAGCAGGTAATGCTTCCAATGTTCTAAGGCCTGCCTGAGAGCGTAGAGTTCTCTCTCGTACGTCGAGGTGGCAACCTTCTCTGTAGCCATTCCCGTCATCCTACTGTAACACAGCGCCTATACCATACTGACTTGCATTCGTGGTGACGACAAATGGCAAAGATGGATCAGCTACTTTGAGGACAGGGTACTCTATCAATGCGCGCTTTAACTTCTTTAGCGCAGACGTACAATCTTTGTCCCATTGCCAGATTGCCTCTTTCTTTAGCAACCTGCGCAAGGGAGTACCGATAGTGGAGAAGTTCCTCACGAACTTCCTATAGTAGTTAGCTCGGCCTAGGAACGACCGCAACTCAGTCAACATGTGGGGCGTCGGCCAGTCTCTAACTGCCGTTATCTTGCTGCCCTCTGGCTTAATGCCATCTCCGTCTAACACGCGGCCCAAGTACAAAACCTGTGTCTTGGCCCACTCGCACTTCTTCGCGTTAATCTTGAAGTTAGCTTCTCTCAGCTTCTCCAAGATTTGCCTCAAATGACCCTGATGCTCTTGGAGGGTCCTGTTGAAAACTAATATATCATCTAGATAAACTACTACAAACTTATCTAACCAAGGTCTAAACAAATCATTCATACAACGTTGAAAGGTGGTTGGCGCGTTGGTTAGTCCAAAGGGTATCACTATGAACTCATAATGCCCATATCTAGTCCGGAACGCAGTCTTGTACTGGTCATCAGGATGGACCTCTATCTGATGATATCCGGACTTCAAATCTATCTTAGAGAAATACTTACAACCCTGCACCCGATCTAAAAGATCGTCTATCCTGGGCAGCGGTTCAGCATTCTTCACAGTAATCGCATTCAAAGTTTCAAACCCCTATAGTCTATACACATACGAAGCTCTCCTTCCTTCTTGGGGACAAACAGGACCGGTGCTCCAAAAGGAGACGAACTGGTCCTGATCCAACCTTTCTCGAGGAGCTCATCTAACTGCTTGCGTAGCTCCTCCAACTCTTTAGGGGACATCCTGTAGACTGCTCCCTTAGGAGTCCTACTGCCAGGCTCTATCTCTATTCTGTGTTGGATGGGTCGCGACACTACTCCTGTCGGCAACTCAGTCAAATCTTTGAATTCCTCCAACAGCTTGGCAATGGTTGGGTCTATGGAACTATCTCCTTCCTTGGCCTTAGTGACACGCCTCACATACACTACGAAGACCTCATCCTCTAACTGCTCCTTTTTCACTAGTCGCGCGAACGCGGGAGCTACACCTGACACATGAAACAGACGGGCGGTCTTCACCTCGCCTGACAGACTAGGGAGCCTACACTCATGCTCTCTCAAGTGGAGTGTGGCCCCTGCTGCCTCTCCCCAATCCATTCCTAACACTATATCAAAAAGGAAGGTCGTCCTGTACGAGGAGAGTCAGGGAATGGAGAACTTTCTCCACCTTCCCATCTTTCTCTAGGCGAAAGTACGCCTAGACTCCCTCTACGTAGTCCTCAACTCGCATCGTGCGGTTGTCTACGAGGACACTGGCTATGGGGTCTGCCAACTTTTGGACTTTTAATCCTAGCCTTAGCTTCTTCAGCGCCTACGGCTAATGTAACTGCGGGTGGCCCCTGAGTCTACAAGGGCCCCTACTCTGCTTCTAAACACTTCTACATCTACCAAGATCAGATGTTCCTTACTCTCCCTCTTTATTTTGGCCCAGGCTGGCATTCTCTCCTTCAGCTCTTTTGCCACACCTGTGAGGGACGTGCCCTGTGGCAAGCCTGGGTGCCATCCTCCTTGAGGTGGCCTTGCACCTCGTCGTTGTGGGGACCGACGAGAACCCTGACGATTTGGTGGGGGACCTTGACCCCTACCTCCTACTTGGCGGTTCCCTTGTCCGCCAACCCCCTGTGTGCCCGGTCCTCGGCCTCCCATGGCCTGGCCCCTTTGGCCCTGGCCTCCTCCTCTACCTTGCGGCCTCCCTCCAGCCGTGACAGCCGCATAAGACCTCCCCTGCCCTACGCTGCTGTCATCCTCCTCCAACCCCCACTCAATCTCACTGTAGGGGATCTCATTTGTACCACCCTCTTCCTACGTGAGGATCATATGATCCTTGGCCCTCACTTGGCCAGAGATGGTACGACCCTTCCACTTCTTTCCTTTGTCCAAGTCCTTGTGCCAGAAAGTGGACACTGGCATGGACTTTGACTCATACAGGACCACCTCTCTACTCAACACATCATAAGTGATGTCGGCCTGTTGAGACCTCTCAAAGCAATGCCCACGCAGGGGCTCGGGCATGGCACGGTAAAACAATTGGACCATCTAGGGCTCAGTGACCCCAAGTCGTCCATAACGCCCTTGAGTGCTCTTGCACTCCTCCACTGTCGTGAGTGGATGGTCTGTAGCTTATCAGAGGCTCTAACGCCTCTCGTTGGGTCAACAAATCTCTCCCTCAGGACTTTGAAGAATTGAGGAAGGGTGGTGATCTTAGAATATGCAACCATGTTGTTTTCACAACTGGCTGCGCGCGCAAGAGATCTGGCAAAACTGGCCGCTTCGTCTTTAAGGGCCTGGAAGGCGACGAGGACTAAGTAGACATAGCTATTCACGCTGGCCTCCCAGTTATCAAAATTCTCCTCTTTCTTCCCCCCGTATGCATCTGGGAAATTAAACTTAACGGGCTCCTTACGAGGCCTGGCCTCACCCTCTACAGCGGCTATTGCTTTGGCACATTCAATGGTGCCCTCGCAGAACTTCCCCATGCTGTCTCTCAGTCGCCTAACGTCGCCTCCAACATGGGTGACCATATCGCCCGCGAAATCTCTAAATCCTGACCGCATGGCACTCAGGGCCACATCTTGACCCCTATTGGCTTGGCGCTCCTCCATCCAGCCCGCACTCAACACTTCCAGATAACCCAGCACCTTATCCATCTTGGCAGAAATGTCTGGCTGCGCCTGCACCTCTTGTCTACAATCTCTCATTTTTGCCACCTCCTCGGTCAGCCTATTAACTTCGTCCCTCCTCCTCTTCTTTTCCCTCTCCATCGTCAGTTTCCACTCAAACTTCTTCTCTTCTTCTCTTTCTCGCCGTTCTAGAGGGTCCTCGAGTGTCACTGGCTCGCTGGCTAACGCATCCCTCTCATCCCGGGGCACATAAAACTCTGCCTCCTCATCTTCCCCCAACGATAAATTAGCAATCCACTCGCTGATCTTCTTCTCCATTGCAGCATCCTCATTCGTCGTGCCACTACTCTCTCCTTTTACTTCCCTGCGTTTCCTCTCCTCTTCTGCTTCTGCTGCCGCTTCTTGTTCAGCAGCCTTCTTCTTTTTCTCCATCTCCTCCTCCAATTCCTTCATCTTCGTCGCCTGCTCCTCTGCAATTGCCTTTAACTTTGCCTGTTTCAGGAGCTCTTTCCTCTCCTTGTTCTCTCTCACTAAGGCGGCCATCTTCTCCTCCTGTTCCTGGGTGTAGGGGCTGGTGCTCTTCCCACTACGGGTGTCAACCATGGTGATAAGTGCACGACCGGATTAGCGGTTCCAAACCTCGCCACTTAGACTCTAACCCCTGACTGACAAACTGACTGACTCAATCTAAAGACTCACAAAATCCGGACAGGGATCCTGCCAACTAGGGTCTCTAGCCTAGACCTACTATGGTTGTCACTACTAGACCTGTTGCTAATCAGGAGGCATTTAAGGAGATCCCCCGTAACTCCTCAGGAATTATTTAACATCGCAGACAGGACGATGTGATCAGCAGGTCTCTCAACACTTAGACTGCCTATTGCGCAGCCCACAACTCAGCCTTTTGGGCCTACCGTGCCACACCGAGCAGCCCGCCGGACTGTACCGGTCCTTGGGAGGGTCAGGCCTCCGGGACAGTCGAGTCGTCAGACACAGTCTTTAGCCCTACTAGGTCCGGCAGGGGTTTGGTCAACAAGGCCTATCCTTCATCCACAGAGTACTATCACCTAGACAAAAGAGACTCAATGCAGAAAGAAGAGACAGACAAACTGAACTCAGCAAGTACCACAGGGTGTGTGCTCATCCATAGGGCGAGGGATAGGCTGAAGGCTTGGCGAGATTTTACCGGTTCCGGCTTGGTCAAAGTCTTGGTCAACGCTCGGTCAACGCTCGGTCAACGCTTCGGTCAACCCCCGGTCAACGCCGATCACTCTGGTCAACACCTCCGGTCAACTCCTCTAGTCGGCTATGGCTGCCGGCTTCACTTTCCTGCACCAACCTTCTTT